TCATCAGCTGATAAGCAAACAATGACTAAAGCCAAATTCTGCAGATTGCCACACTTACAGAGATTCTGAGGTAAATGTAAGTTTGCCAAACAGTTAGCAAGAAACTGTGACTGTGTGCGCAGACAAGTACAGACCCTGAACTGACTCAATAAATAAATACTTACCTAATACTGATTACATCTAATAACACTGCGGCCATCGGGCCAAAACACCATTTTCTGTATTTGAAGAGAATGCGACCCACTTACACACACACATTTTTCTTCTTCTTTTTTGCCATTCTCTTCTTGTTTCTTTTATCATTCTATTTCATTTCTTTATTCCATTTAATAAGTTGCATTTGGTGCTTTGGCAGTGTTGTTAACCTGATATTAATGCTACTAAAGCATAATGAATTGGGAAATTGTAAATTTGAGACATGCAGCTACATGAGTGTAAAAATTCTTAACGTTTGTATTTAAGATTTCTGAAGACACATCCTGACTTCTGTATTGTAGCGACAGCTTTACCACATGAGACATTTCTGAATACTGTCCTAGATGTTGAAAGCTGTGCATGAGGAGGTTTTCCCATTTGATCGCTCAGCTTTGCTGTCATAGAAATTGAATTAATAATCAGTACATGATACATGATACAAATACATTTGTACCTTCTGGTGTGTTTGTCTTATTTCGATTAACAAGTAAAATTAAGAAATAGAAATCTAAAAGGTATTGACACTTACACCCTGCAGAGCAACCGACATGTTAAGTCATTTGTTGTTTATTTTTCTCATTGGTGTGGTGGTGTTGTCCTTTTAGATGGCCTAGAAAAGCCACATAGTCTTTTATTTCTTTATTCTTTTTTAAACCAATGGCTCTTTTTCCAGGGCACAAAGGAAAGTGAAAAGACAAAACAACTTATTTATTGACACACTTGTCATTGCAGGGGAATAAACAAGTTTAAATAATAGCATTCATGATGGCTTTTTTCCTATTTTGGTGTGCCAAAAACCCACACAAATGAGACAGCATGCCCAAAAACGCGACCACTTTGATCAAAAATAAGGACACAAATTGTCAGGACTATAAAGCCTTAACCTCCCATTGTCTTACTTGGCTGAGCATGAAGTCAAATATCAGCGTCTGAATGTTTACTTCATCCAGATCACAGTAACTCGTCTCCGCTGGTGCAGACCTTGGGTTTTCCAGCTTTGTGGAACAGCCTCGGTATGCAGAGTCCACTCCTGCCTCAGGTTAATGAGCGGGACTGAGATGTCCTATGAACAAACTGTGAATACCACCTTCAAAGGAGACATGCAGTGCCCCAGTTACTGCGGCCACAGGGAGCTGTCTGACTGGAGTAAGTTTAAAAATTTCTCTTGTTACCATAAAATATCTGGTAAAAGATTACATGTGGAAGGAGTTACCTAGAAGTACCCGGGCCTCACAATGACACCACATAAAATAATGTATAAAGCACATACCTGTTTAAGATATATCCAGAATCCATCACTGTGCCATTCACCACGCACTGTCATCAGGCCGCCCGCTGACCCAGACTTGCCCTACATGGAGGATATTGGTGTCTTTCAGCCGGCGACATTATTCTTGTCGTTTGTTCCCTCAAAGGGCAGAAAACAAAGTTTGCACATTTCTAATGAGGAAGTGAGGACAGAACAAAGGCTGTACAGTATGAATGTGATGTCGGGCTTTTTTAATCTTTTATAATATAGCCTTTGTAATCCTCTGTGTCTAAAATGAAGTTTGGGTTTTGCAGCCACAAGAGAGAAGTCGCTCTCCAAAGAATCAGCAAAAGAAGAAACCTCAAGTTTTTAAATAAATAAATAGTCAAGCAAGAAAATATGGGGTCATGAGGAGGTTGATCACAGAGATGCATCAGCGGTATAATAAAGACTAATCCACTCCACTCATGTGCGCTTTCCCTCCCCTTCTACTGTCTCCCTGTCATTATCTGGCTCCCATTCTCACTTGCCTTTTTCCTCCATTCATCTTTAATTCCCTTTAACAGCACAGCCAGCGCAGTGATTCAAACAGGGTCCACCGAAAATTTTAAGGGTCAAGGTCTGTTTGGACACTTCTGGTTCGCTCAGCAGGCGACGGTGGAGGCTTTAATAGCCTGATTGCCTTTGAAGTCTTCAAAACGGCTGCAAGAAACTCTCCAATGTGATCAAAGGAGGAAAGAGACAAGAAAATTAGAGTAATACGCATTGAATGCTCTTCTGCTGGAGCTTTACGAGAGACGACGTCGAACGCATAAATACTCAAGATATGAGTTATCGTGGATATTATTATGTCATGCTGTGCTGTGCAGAGCTGCACTCTGCTGAGGGGAATGTTGCAAATGTGAATAAATATCCAGAGGCACTTGATCTTGACACGATCTAAAAACAAAGAAAAATAGAACTGCATGAGCTCAGTTTTGTACCACTCGGTGAGGTCAACGTGACTCTTGACTCTCTGCATCAATAGTAATTATTAATGTACAAGAATGATGCATGAAACAACACATTGTGTCATGCTGACACATCTGCGGCTGCTCCCCCAATCCTTTCCTCAAGTGGGCTTCGCTTATGGAAAATAAGTGTTTTAAAAAAGTGAATAGAAAATGCAAAAATAGCAAGGCTGTGACGAGGAGCTTTGGAATACTGAGGTCACATTTGTTTCAAGCTTTTCATTTGAAAGTTGTGTTTTAACATATTGTCTGTACATTGAGGCCTAAATGCTGAAATCAGCTGATCAAAAAAAAAGTGTTTGGTAAAAGGTAAACGCTCACTTATATAGCGCTTTTATCCATAGCGCATTACAATGTGTTTCTCATTCACCCATTCACACACCAATGGCGACAGAGCTGCCATGCAAGGTGCTGCCTGCCATTGGGAGCAACTTCAGGTTCAGTGTCTTGCCCAAGGACACTTCGATTGTGGAGGGGCGGGGGATCGAACCGCCAACCTTGTGATTGGAGGACAACCCACTCTACCACCTGAGCCACAGCTTTTTAAATACTAGTTTTATGATGTTTATTTTATGGCAGTCACACCTAAAATCCATTGGCCCTAATTTCCACAGTCAAACACAATATCCACCCGATTAGTCCTGTAGCTTTACTTTTGTGATTTAAATACATAATAACAAATCATGAGGGAAACCAATACTTGATGACCATCTTAAGGGTGATTTCTCCGACAAAAGTGGCAGACAGAGCTGCATCAAAGATAAACCAGCTCGCTTCACATTGTTCAGCATAGTTAGTTTGGTTGCCAGTCTTGCCAACGGTTGGTGGGAAAAGAGAAGATAAAACAAACTTTAAGGATAAAGGTAATGATGCTCAACAGATGACAATGGCAAAATCCCCCGCTGCTGCAGATTTCCCCGCTGTGAGATTAATAAGGAATAAAGGCTTTTAAACATAATTTTGACACATTTAAAATAATAAGGTCTATTTTCTTGCATCCTTAGCCATTTGGCAAACTCTATTTGGATCAGCCAATTCAAACACAGAAATCAGGACATGCATTAAGTCACTTTAGTCCAGAAGTTGTTTTAGGCGTCCGTTTGCTGCGTTTCTGCCAGATGTTCCTCGTGATCAGTGTTTGGCATCTGCATTAACATTTTATGGGAAACTAAGAATATTTTACCTTTCAGAAAAAGTAAAGAACAAATACTTGTTTGGTTTGATTTCATCTCTAAATGACCCTCGTCAGTCCAACTTTTGTGCAGTTGCCAACCGCCGGTTTGCTTTGTCAATGTTCTGTAAAGAAGTTTTCCCAATCTTTCCTAGATGTAATGGGACGGGAGGTAGGAGATGCTATCGTCAGCTGAAGCAGGCGACATTAGCCCCTCCATATCATTTTCCTTTCATCGTCACCCGAGACATTAGCTCGGTTCATTGACCCGGCGATGTCCCTCCACCCCAGCAGTATCTCTGCTCCCCAAGATAGAAGCAGATCACTGAGAGCTTCCTGCTCCTCTGTCTCTGCCGTATCTGCGTCACTGCCTGATAATCACAAGTTTACCGGCAGGCTTCGCTTGATGCTTTATCTCAACCAGGGAGTGCCAAAACGGATGCACACCAATATGGGATGTACGCTCTCTGACAGGGAGCCTGTGTGGGGGTGTTGGGACCTGGACACTCACCAGTGACCAGAGTATCAGAGGTGAGTGTGTCAACAAGTGTCCTCCTTCACTCTGATCCTCTGAACAACACAGGAGAGAAGATGTGGGGGTGACTGTTTTTTCTTTTTAATCCAGTGTAACTTAAGTGTTTGCCTCTTCTGATTTAACCCTTTGATTTTTTTTCATGACAAACCCACAACACAAATGTACTATTTCCTTCAACAGAAACCTGCATTTGTTAGAATTTGATTGGTTGAATTCTGTGGCTGATTGTAAATAAAGTCAAACACTATGTTCTGAAATTAAACCTCACAAAACTCTTTCAAACTGAAGCTTGTTGCAGGCAGAATTACAATGTGGTCACATTGGATGTTTTTGTTGCTTTAATGCTGTCAAAGTTATTCAAAGCTAAAAGATGAAATTGAGTGGATTTGTCAAAAATCAGCAATTACACATGGCCATAACTTTCCCAAAACAAACATTTTGGATATATATATATATATACACACCACAGCCTCCTGAATCTTGTCCAGTACTTGAAGGGATTCCTTTTAAGGCCTTTTTGGTCTGACTGAGAACCCTGCTCTTAATTCTAATATGCTTTATTCGTCTACATCTCAGACTTAACACGAGACAGATTTCTGGTGATGTCATGTTACGTGATACAGTCAGCTGACAGAAATTTGCAGTGCGATGAGTGTTGACTGCGAGGTTATAGAAGAGGTTATCGCAAACTCTCCAGTGTGTATCCCACTCCAAGAAGAATCCTGAGGACTGCACTTCAGCCTAAAACCACTCATGAGACTTTCTACGTCTGGAGCTGCTGCAGTCGTACATATATAAAACATGCAATGAGGTTGTTAAAGAGAGAAGACGGACAAAAGATTTATCATCAATATGTATTTTGCTTGTTTGAAGTCATTTTTGACACTTCTTACAGCGTGGCATTATCACAACCGGCATAAACAGGTGTCAACAGAAAACACTGATCAGAAAGATTGAATTTAAATTACAAAAAAAAAAACCTAAAATGTTTTTGCCTCAAACCAGTTCTTTAATAAATAGCGGCAAACCGACTGACTAGACAAAGATCAGAAGCACTTTGAGGCAAATGTGTAGGACAACTAGACACCTGAAGAGCTACAATACCATTTTGCTTGCTGTGGAACATGAACCCAATTTTTATAGAAACAACAAACACAGGACCGAGGTTACAAATATAAGTCGCCGTGTAGATCCCTTGACAGTTTGAACACTGAGGGTCCTCTTGATTTTAAAACAAGTTGATGCCACTGTGACAAACTCAAAGTGAAAAAAGTTTGAAATGTTTAGACAAACTATGAATCATTTGATCCCACAAAGCAGCCCCTCGCCCACCTTCATTCATGCACACACACACACACACATTCAGAGATCCACAGTAAACATTCCACGTAAGCAAACACAAGTACAGACCTGGAAGTCTGTGGAGGGATTCAGACACACTCTGGGGCTATCAGCTCACCCCTCCTCCTACACAGACACATTTTGTCTCTCCGTGGCTAAGGTATGTGATGACAGGTCTCCGTTTTTACGTTATCTAAGTGACAAGCACTGGAGGTCCTATTGTGCTTCTAGGATCATACTGTCCATGCCTCATTGTCTGTTCATCTCTCCGATGTTTCCATTTGGGCCTTTCTTTGGACTGCTACTGTAGAAACAGTATACTGAAAGCCATGATGACACAGCAGCAAGCCACCCAGGGACTCTTCCGCTCACCTGGAGAAAAGACATCATGTTAAGTTCATGGCTTTGAGAAAAACTATGATTTTATGTGAAAAAATACGGAGCAATCATTGGCTTACCTATTCTGGCACACTTCCAGAAAATTCCTAGGAGCCTTAAAAAGAAAAAAAACAAAACAAAACATGAAGACAAAAAATGAATTCAAAATTGCGAGCAGAAACATTTTGGGGCCTCAGTTTACATTACCACTGTGTAATAGTTAACCGTCCTTTAAGTGCATTAAACAAAAAGGCAGAAGTCCTGCGTTGGTCCTCTGCCACAATAATCTCTTTTCAGCAAAACCAAGGCACCCATCACATTTCTGTTTCCATGTAAGGATTGTGCAGTGGACAGCAGACGAGAGCAGGACAGCAGGGAGTCTTATCATCTCTAGTGACAGCTGAGGCAAATGTTGCATTCCAAGCCGTCACTTTTCTGATGAGTCTGTTTGACTGTCGGCCTGCAAGTGTATCTGTGCCTGTTTAAAGTCCATTTTTTCTAAAAACTTTCATTCTGACCAGATGGTGTCAGCATCCCATCGCAACATTTTCCTTTACTGGCTCAGAACAACCCTTGTATAAAAGTTTCGATTTCTATAATTTAAGCAAAGCATTTTTTAGCGAAACATGTTTTTCTGTACAAAACAAACAAAAAAAATTGACTGGAAATGGTATTCCCCTCAGATTCTAGAATTATTTGCATGTGTGGCACCAAATCAACACAAATAATGGCTCATGCCTTCGTCAACAAATCAATCAAGACGGAAAACTATTAAATCATCCCATCTGCCACTCGCAGTCTCATGTGTTTGTCTGGAGAGGAGGTCCCTCCCTTCTCCAGTGATGTGTGTGTGCGACCGTGTGAGGCTGTTCCTGGGCTGTGACAGATTTATTAGAAGTGAATCGTAGCGCTTGTACATCCAAGAATAATAATGATCTTGTAATGATGAAAATCAGGCCTTCTGCTACTTTACTCCCCTCAATGAGGAGGTCCGTATTAACTAAAAAAAAATAAGCAAACGTCCATAGTAGTGATTTGCACAGGGATGGATTATTTATGTTACTGGGCTCAGAGGACAGAACAAGTGTTGTCACAGTCCATTTCTAGTTGATAAACTAATATAGAAGAAATACAGAAGTTAACTACTTGGAATCTAATGTTACAGTTGGAGAAGTTGATATTGTCAGGACCTTGAAGGATGGAGCAGAAAGTATGGCACTTCAAAAAAAATAACACAAAATCTATGTGCCTTACTATTGCCAGTGATTGCAGCACAACTACAATGAGACAAGCACTGAGTGAAATCATACGAGTCTTAAGATTGGGGTGTGATGTTTTCATTGTCCTTATTCAAGCTGAGCACTTGGCTTTATGGCCAACTTTAGTTTTTGTCTGCTTGGATGTATGTGAGGACCTTTTCCTCCCATCTATATTCAATTAGTAACATTAAAGTGCAGGCCTAAACACACTATTAAATTCTGATCTGGCACATTTTGCAAGACAACGGCATATGCCTTACAGAATCACAATATTGCACTTAACGCAAACTATATCATGCTAATAATTAGATAAAGAAATGAAGAGATTAAGTTTTTCTAAAAAAAAAAAAAGTCACTCAATGTGCTGATTGAAGCATCACAGAATCTTTGGGGGCAAAGAGCATAGCTGGAACTAATCAACAACACTCATGTAGATTCTTTGTTATTATTATATTATCATATTTTTTTTATGATGTTCCCTGTGTTTTTGCACTGTCCCCTTTGCTGCTGTAACACTGCAAATTTCCCCATTGTTGGGGTTAATGTAGGATGATCTTATCCTAAAAAACAGTTTGATATCGAAGTGTGTCAAAAACTGGTATTTTGAGGGTAAATTAACCACAGGGGAGTCCTCAGTGGCAGCCTCTGCATTGTTAAGTATCTCAAACAACAGCTAATCATACCCAGTCTTGTTCTTGTCCAGCAGGCTGGGAGCCAGCGCTCTGATGTAGGCACAGGTACAGATCAGGAGGAGGATCACAGTTAACAGTGATTGGAAGTTGAAAATGGCCGACTGTAAGATAAAAGACGATGACATATTTAGCACAGATGCAATAGGTTCACCAGCAATATGTTCAACAGTTAAAAACCTCCGAAGTCACTGTATTTCATTTTCTGTGACACTGATGTTGCTCTTCTTGTAGTGAGGAATGTTGTTCTACCAGCTGTTCATTCTGTGACAAAGACCTGGGCTGGCTGTGCAGACCCATTTAGAACAAGTCCGTCAAAGACTCAACACCAAACTGGGGGACAGACAGTATGTTTCTCTATAAACTTCCATTCAGAAAAATCCTGTTGTGTTTGTCTGAAGAGGAGGTCCCTGTTGACACGTGTGTATATAGTAATTTACAAGATCTACCACATGCCTAGATTGCAGCTTGAGCATAATCCAAATCTCTGTCTTCCATGCATCAAATGGAGACAAAGACTCTGCGTTTTAGCTATACAGCTTGTTTACAAGCCATAACAAACTGTGAGACAAGATTTCATTACATTTGCAAAACTTTGTGTATTTGTTTGAGGGTACAAAAAACACAATTTTCCAGCTTTTCAGCACCTGTGTGTTTCTCCTGATGCTCCAGTTATCAACTGTGAGGATGACGATAAAATCACCGCACATCAGTTGAGTTACACTGGGGTGTAGCTTAGTTGGCAAACAAAAAGATCACTACACTCATAGATTTAAACAACAAATCAGGTATTTAATCGCTATGTTACTTTTAGTTCTTGAACATGTATGGCACTCCAAAGCAGTAGCAATTAAAGTGCTTTTTGATGCGACTCTTTCTCTGTCACATACAACCATATATTAATCTCATATGCACTCTTAACAAGCAAAATCCAAAACTGACCTTTTCAATATTTATCACTGACAGAGTGATAGACCTGCAGTTTAAGATTCTAACATGTGGGTATTTACCATTAGCATTAACTTACAAAAGGTTTATTAAAGTGTAAGATGTATTTAAGTTTTCTTTCATTTATGTCAGTGTTGTCTCCACATATGTTATTTTTTCAAATTATTATTCCACCTTCCAAGCACTACTTACAGCCCTGCTAAAGACACTTAGAACTATACTACAATGATCGAATAAGAGGTAAAAATAAATTCATGATAACCACTTTGAATTATATGTGTCATTGTTTTGAATGTTAACATCTGTCTGCAGCACATTTCTCACCTTCTATAGTGATGTTTGGTTTTGCATGTTTTCAAGCCTCTAGTCAATGCTCGTCTTCGTAATTTTAGTTAAAGAAAGTTTTGAAGGGGTAAATAAGTTACTTGCTGTCTTCTAGGCTTTTATTTCAAATATTCTCGTTACTCTGAGCTCACAAACAACAACCCCGCAATGTCACTCAACAATATGTAGCTAACCCACACACGTTCATGCACACTGCCAATACGATGGTGCAGCTACGTGGCACACACCTACTAGCGCGTATCGTGTTTGATAAGATACTCCTAGTCATTGTTATCAAACGACTCACGGTAAGACGCAAAAGCAACCTATGCAACGACATAAACGGTTTATGTGACGGTATTTCAGAACAAAAAACCCGATATGATAGCTAGATTTGCTAAACTTTTAGCCTGTCGGAGCTAACCAATAGTAGCTCGGTAGTATAGCATTTACTACACGTCCCGCTACGTCCCAAATGCTAGCATTAGCTGCTGCCGCAGTGTGTTGCCGACGCATATCACATTTATAATGTATGTCACAGAAAATGCTTCAAAGTCATTGCAAAAGAGCAGAAGCCGCTGTTTAACAGAAGAAAACTTACCATTTTTGTTGGGAATCAGAGCCACATCACACTTCCTGTTCTCTGGAACTTACGTAACGTGAACGTCCACGGTTACGTAATTACGTACAACGTCGCAAAAACCGAGCTTGCTGATTGGCTGAGAGCGCACACGAGGTGAAAGTTGAAAGTTGTGTGTCGAAGCTGTCAACGGGGAGAGAAAGAGCAGCAGTGTTGTGTGTTTCATACAAACAATGCTTCGTTTGGACATCGCTATAGTTAGCTCGTACAATACCGTAAGTTTTTTGAGGACCATTTGTACGCTACGTGCTATTACTACACCGAAGTTACTGTTAATTTAGACCGACTGAGAGAAGCACTGTGAAACTGAATGAGCACGTTAAAGACTCTGCGCCCTGCCATTGTGTTGTCCACACCGATACTATGACTGAACTCTGTTCTGCCATGAAGTACTGCTGTAATCCACTACTACTGTAATTTACTGTAGTCTACTACAGTTTTACAGAATTTATGCAATGTAATTTGCAATCTAATACAGCATATATTATGCACCATGCTCTGAGACGAATAGTCCTCAATAAAATTCAGTTTGTCATCATGTAAAGACTATGTGAACAGATCAGATCAGAACAGAGCATTTGTTTGAATTTATTTGTTTAATATACATTGAGAGTTGATCACAAATTACATTTTTAATATCTTTTTCAGACTCCACAATCAAACAATTAGACAAATAATTCTTGGCTTTAGTTTCAGGATAATGTGATAGCTCACTAGATCCTATTGTCTCTTGATGACTTAAGACTGAAATTTTTGTGGTCCACTTTTCTCTCAGAGTTTTCACAATGAAGTCCCCTCCCTCCAACCAGCCACGACAGCATCTTGATTGCATTTAAACCATGTTTCGTAAATCCCCCTCGACCCTTCCTTCCCAGGCACTCCTAGAGAGCCCTTCATGTAAGAAGAAATCTATCACATTGTAAACCACACATAAATCACGTTTTGCATATTTTACTCCGACAGTGCGGATGAAAACTTGTTGCAAAAAGAAACTGTGTCAAATGGAGAGGCTGGTTTCTGAAAGCAAGAGATAGCCACTTTGTCAGCTCTGGCAAACTTCAACAGGCTCACATTTCTCTTAATATGATTCGGTTTTGTAGTTCACAGTGCACTGACCAATTTTGGCTACGGCACAGTCCATGCATGCCTGATTACTGCAGTCAAATCAGGGCTTGATGTAGCCTCAGTATGTGCAAGTTTTTTTCAAATCAGAGATAACATCAGGCTCAGCTTCTCTGTGTAACTTTCGAAGTTTAAGAGAAAAACTTTATCCAAACCTTAGCATATGCTTGTTGTGAGTTTTGATCGTTAGTAAAGTGATTTTGGAAGTGCTATGACAACAGTGGTCACATGTTTTCTGTAAAGTTTTGGCCCTTGCACAGGCTTCTGCAAACTGTAGAGCATGATGAGAATGAAAGTTAGACTGTGTACACCACAGGTGTGTCACAAATCACGTTGCTCAAGGGTCTCTGTACTTTCACATGGCCTTCATCATCAACGGGGAGTTGTGTGCATGCTTAGTGTTTAACTTATTCCTTTATGCATATTAGTGATATGAAAATAGCAATTTGTGCAAAGAAATTTAGCAAGAAGTTGTGTAGATGATGATTCTTTATGTACGTACAGTTTGATGCAGAGAGCAAGTTGGTGTGATCGCTGTTAAGCTGTGGCTCCGTCTTGTTTGTTCCAGTACATTACAGATTACGAAGCAGTTTCTATTCTGAAACAGATACTGCTGACTAAAGTAATATTTATTCCTTGTGTGAGTCCAGTAAATTTTGAATTATGAAAATTTATGGCACTGCATTGCATACATTGCCTGTGAACATCGTCTCCATTAGGCTGGCTTGCAGGACCGTAAAATGTCTTCAGCTAAATTGTGCTGCCAGCAGAGCTTTTGTTGTTAAACTGCTATTCTCTCTTCATTTTACAGCCACTGGTTTAAAAGAGTCATCAGAACTAGCACTAGAATTACAATTATAACCTCCACATTGTGTCTAAAAAGATGAATGCCTTAGAGCAGTCTGTGTTGTGTCGACCACATAATCTGTTAAGAAGACACATTGCCAGTGATGGTAAGTATTCAATACTGCACTTGAGATAAAGTGAGGATGCTTTCTTCGACTAAATCAAATCGATTTTTCCTGTGACCATCCTTTAGCTTTTAAACAGCCCCAGGTCTAGGTGCACTTTCACGCCATTTTTCAATGTAATTTGCAGAAATGTTGGTCAAAACCTTGGAGAACTTGCCACAGTTCTTTAGTGGATATAGGCTGCCTCATTTTTTTTTAATGTACTCCATGTTTGTACAGCTTGTCGTACTTCACCCAAATCCATTAGCCATCACATTCTTGTCTGTAAGAATGTAAGTACTGACACTATCTGTGGTTAAATTACAAACGTTTTTCCAACTTGATCTCAATGCAGAGGCAGGTATTAATCAGATTCTGGTGACTTTTTACTAATTCTGCCTCAGACACAATCATGGCGTTAACCGGTTCAGACAGAGTCATAAATACGTGTTTTATTTTGTAGGCCTTGATTTATTCTAGCATGTGTTGTATTTGCTGATACTGTTTCTATTTACCAAGTAGCATGAGATGGTCAATACTTGGATAGAATAATGAATAAAACCCTGTGGCCCCAATTGCTGCTGCTTAGGGCACAGAGGGAAATAACAATGGACTTTCTAAAGAATTTTCCTTTTTATCTTGAAATTACTGTATTAGAGAAAGCATGAAAGGAAAGGTCAGTGAAAGGACAGTTACAGGACGGGCCTAATTGGATAGATTCAACTACAGTGTTTTTTTTTTTTACTCTCTATACGAGACGAGATGCATAATTACGGACTCTGTTTGTATCTCATTTGTCTTGTGCTTCCTCTTCTGAGAATTCCATCTTGCAGTTTGCGTGTGAGCTAATGCAGAAGACATGACAATGAAAAGGTCGACCAGAAAAATTACAGAACGAGAGAGAGAATACGATGAAGTCCGTGTGTCAAAGCTGCAGGGGAGTTTTTGGTTGATGATTTAAGCATCCCAGCGATTGTCTGCTGATGAAGCAACTGAACAGATGCTAACAGTAAGAGTTCAGGATTGGCTTTGATGGTTTTGCGCAGCTCTCCATTCCTGACAGACAGTGCTGTTTGTTTAATTGAAGTGTCCTTCTGTCATTACCACAGGGTCATCGTCCCCGCGCAACAGATGTTACAGTAGCTAATGAGTAGCTGGGCTCACTTTATGAGGTTAAAGTTGATGCTTTCAGCTCCCTCATCTTGTTTGGCCCCTTCGCCCAGCCACACCCCTTCTTGAAGCACAAAGGGTCAACTTTAATCTGTTGCACAGTTCTTTTTTGTGCATGTGCATATTTGCGTTTAGTGTGTGTGGAAATGGTGTGTGTATATTTATGTTTGAGGTCTTCATGTCTCATTGTGAATAACCTTGACCACCTGCTCTGTCAGCGTACATGTCGGAGGATACATAAGCAGGAAAAAAAAAAGAAATGCGCTGTCACGTCATAACTTACAGCGCAGTGTCCGAAGGCGCTCATTTTCATTTTTTTCAGACATGTCCAGCTTGGCTAACTGCCAATTTAGCTGTCCTTTTCCCTCCGTCTCCACACTCTTTGCCCTGTATTTAAGTAGGGAAGCTGTCCGACTCACCTCTCACTTCACGTGGAAGCGGTAATCACATGTTCTGGCCTGGACATCCATAATCAAGTAAAAGTTTCTCAAGCAATTTGAGAAGAGGGACGATGTGTTGCCAGTAAACTGAATGAACTGTTGAGGAACAATCACACAGATTATATTATATTCTGTAGAACAATTTCTTTTATAACAATCTATCGAATATGAGTTTTTTTTTTGTTATGGCAGTTGACTTAACTTTACCTGCAGCATTGAGTTAATCAGCGAACACATAAGCCTGAGGGCATGGTGGCCTTACCAAACATTTTTGCTCAGAGCACTCATCAAGCTGTGTTGTATTGGTTTACAATGATTTAGTGGCACAGCATAAAGTAATTCGAAGTGAAAGGATCCCACAGATTTTGCTTTGCCTCCTGTGGTCTGGCATGGCTCTGGATGAATTAGCATTAATGTCGTGTTGCTCCTAAATTATCCACCAAGGTCTGTGTAAGTGTGAGATGGGGAATAATCTATGCGGCTAGAAAGTGATGGTTCATTTTTAATCTACAGTGTCGTGTGTATTTCAAAGCTTTGTGAGTTTACAAAGCTTAATGAAGCTTAATCCATTCTGGAGTGGATGTCTGCAGGCCTAAGTGTTGTGCAAACCCACGAGGAGTAGTTTGGCTGTGTGACGCTATAGCATAAACGCACCGCATATGTTAGGGTAAATGTACACTCTGAATGTTATCAGACAACAACTGCTCCTTTTCAGTAATATTCCTCCATTTATCTTTAACAGCATGTAATTACCTTGCTGGTGGTGGGAAGCCCACACTCCCACACAAAAACCTGCCAAAACCTGTTAATCTCCGTGTGGTCCCACTGACTCAGAGAGACCCCCGTTGAGGACACACACAGGAACTTTTATTACTAAATCCGAGCTGAAACAATGAAGCACATTGATTCAACTGGAAGGTTAACACAACCTTACAACATTACAACAGATTGATTGGAGGGCTGTCTTTGAAGGAGGTCCAAGGAACAAATACTAACTCACAAAACACAATGCAGAGGGCTCGTTGCTGGAAATATTTATCATAATGGCTTCTTAGTAAGAGTTTCTGAATCACTTATCTTTGACTTTCTGTAGGTCTAAAGGCCATACCAGAAACATGAGCGGTACAGTTCGCCAGATCACTCTGACTACTGATCCAGGAACTCCCTACTTCTTGCGAGTGGACTGGGCCGAAGACCTGGGTGCTGGGTTCACCTTGGCTCTCACTGATGGAAGCTCAGCATGGATTGGAGAAGGTAAAGATTTCACATGTGGACTGAATAATCAAATCATTCATCAATCTTAGGCCATGGCAGCTGTAACTGACCCGCAATTTTAGGCTTACTGTATCTCCCATCTCCTGACCGTTGACTAGACTGAGTTGTCACCAGCTATACCATCCATCAGGCTGTTCAAACCATAGAGGCACCTGGCTGACCCCGTCTCATAAAGTTGTAACTGCTGGTCCTTTAACCAGAGGGACAGTGGTGACCTTGTTTCATCGTCCCTCTTCGCTCCCATGCTGCAGCTTACAGGTGTCTAAAGCAGATTAAATTCTACAAGGCTCGTCTTTGTATATGCAAGTCAGTGCTGAATGTGTGTGTGTGTGTGTCTGTGGTTACATATGTACATGACTATGTATTCTCTAGAGGGACACCTGGAACATAACTGCTCCCTAGTTTTCTTCTGCTGTCCATCTGCAGAGTTGACAGGTAGAGATGGGGTTGTGACAGCTATGTGCGGGCTTGTGGGTCGTCAGTGTTGCCGTGTTTGATGTGTTAATTGGGACCTTCAAGCCCGCGTGAGCAGCTGCGGAACAGCTGATGACATTCTCCTTGGTTTCTCTCTGTGCTTCCTTTCAAATCCGCTTTCACATGCAGTCATGTGTTACTACATAATTAATGTTTATAGTTTAGTTCTGCGACGTGCTCTCATCTCTTTGCGCTCTGTTCAGTTTCTCTCAGCTGTACAGGCTTTGAAATTTTTGCAAAAATGAGAAAAATGCCTTCTAAAAGGAAATCGGATGTTTGATCAGTGCCTTATTTTGTCAGTTTCAGAGGATGAGGTGACAAGGGAAGCCAGTGACATGGGAGTTACAAGGGAGAGATATGTGGAGGATCTTCTTCAAGCGTTAACAAAAAGGGAAGGAGGAAGAGGAAGAGGAGGGAGGAGAGGAGGCGACCAAGAGGTGTATTCTTTCCACCTCACTCCAGATCACTGTCGCTTCTCGTATCAGAAGACCTGTAATGACATTTCGGTAAGCCAAAACTGTAGGAGGATTTTTATTTTTATACTAGGAATCAACAGTGTCAATCTTTCACTTCTACCAATATTCAAAAGCAAATACGGAAGGAGCTCACCAACTAAACCTTCAATACTTTTTTGATTAAAAAGTAACAGCAGCTTGAAAGCAGTGTTCAAACAGAGAAATGCACTAAATTAAAAAAAGCACAGCTCTTTCCTTTATTACATTAAAATCTTGGGTTTAAAAGTTGATCCGAGCTCAGCTTCTGTTGCAGCGTGTTGTTATGTTAACATAGTTATTTGGCAAACTGGTGCAATGGTTAATAAAGTAGATGAGCTGGACATATTCCTATGAGCTAAACTTCCACAGTTCACTTCATTATTGTCATGACCTAACATAAATGAATGCCACAGTGCAGTCAACACCATGGCTAAGCCTTTACTTGTTGAAGGGGGAAGTTGTAACCTCTTGAAAATTACAACTTGCAATTGTGCAGCACGGAGTTGTTTCCAGCATATGAGCAGACATTTTACATTTTTAAAGTTGTCTCTCTCTCACTGACATGTGGCACCAGTTTGGAGTTGGACTGCTGCTTTGAAACAGTAGGCACCGAGGCTCTGGCGATGAGTGGTGTTTTCCGGAACTGGTTTTTGGTGCTTTGCGTCAGTGGCAGAATGTGCACTCATTCAGGGAAGCATGCATAGAGTAGAGTAATGGACCGTCTAACAGCAGTATAGTAGGGCTGCCACTAACCTCTGTTTTTGTATTTATTCATCTGTCTGTTTTACTGATTAATTAAGGAATCTAAACTATTGATTTCACTCCATAAAAGCGAAATGACCGCTTCATTTAGGTTAATTATACTTTGATGGGGGCTGCAAGGTGGAGCAGTGGTTAGCACTGTTGCCTCGCAGCAAGAAGGTCACCGGTTTGTGTTCCAGTGAGGACACCTGGGATCTTTCTATGTGGAGTTTGCATGTTCTCCCCGTGCAGGGTTCTTTCCGGGTTCTCTGTCTTCCTCCTACTCAGTCCAAAAACATGTTGAGGTTAATTGGTGATTCTAAATTGTCCGTAGGTGTGAATGTGAGTGTGCTTGTTTGTCTGTCTCTAAGCGTGGCCCTGTGATAGACTGGCGACCTTCACCCTAAGTCAGCTGGGATAGACTCCAGCCCCCCTGCGACCCTATGAGGATTCAGCGGGGTATAGATGATGGATGGATGGATATTTTGATGGCCTGTATGTCATTGTATATTGCAGCACAGTACAAAATATAAAAACATTTTTACACATTAAAGTACAAAAACAGGTTAAACTGGCAACTCGATGTGATATAAGTAGATAAAACAGAGGGCTTATTATTTAAGTCAGCTGTGAAATGCCAAAAAGAAACCAAAGTTTCCATGAAACCCTTAACAAAGTGAAAAGTTCTTTGTGCATATTAAACAAAGAGCAACATGGACACGGTGGATATTTTACAAGCATGGAGCAGCTGAAGCAAATCCTCTGCTTGTTATTGTATAATTGAGCTACAGCATTGACAGTAGCTTCAAATTCTATGTAAATACACCACGGCTGTTATCTTTAACTCCTCTTCATGGTAGGTTAGTCAGACAACGTTCCAGTCATTAAATCAGGATTTTAGTGCTGCAGAGCAGGAGCTTGGAAGTGACTGCTGGATGACATGTTGTCTTAATGAGCCTTGTTTCAGTTTCTGTTTCATGCTGGTTCCATTGTCTGACAACCTAAACAGAAACACTGTAAATGAGAACATATTCATTGGTAATTCAGCGAGAATGAAATACAGTGTGTGTGAGCACAGGGGATAGGAGAGAAGAAAATAGATGTAAAGTACCTCCGCACTAAATAATGCATGTGTGTTTTTCTTTAGGGGTTCATGCGTTGCACCGTGCTGCTGTGAACCCACCTTTTTGTTCTGGTAATCATCTGAAGTACTTCCATACTTTGTAGCCTCGGGTCTTTGGAAACCTTTAAACCGAATCAGACTTTGTTGCCGCCACCATTGTCTAAACTGTAGCACCGAATGCAGCTGATCAGTGATTCATGCAAAAACAACTGACAACAATTACACAGTGATGCTGAAGAAAAAGAGTCGTTACAATGAATTCAAGTTAAAAAAACACGGTTATCGACTGTGCTGCAGCTCTACAGTATATCAAACTGAACGTGAGCAGTTGAACTGGTCTCAGAAATGTTGAATAATCTTGCAGATTCCTTTTAGGAAGCTGGTGTTCTTAGTCATGTGTCAGTACTCCAACTCCGATTTTCACAACATCATATCCTCTTGTCGTTGTTCCCTGAGGATAAATGCACCTAACGGCGTGCAACAAAACAGAAAGGAAGTGTTATTTATTTTATTTTTTACAGGGGGCTGTTTAAAAGATAAGATTTATAGTCTCCTAACAATATAGCAGAATTACAAAGACCTGGTTGCCTTCAGGCCGCTGTGGATTGAGCCACAGATAGGAATCATTCACTTTGTTACCAGTTGTCCAATAGCAACAGTATGAGGTAGTGGTGTACTGGCCACAGCTTGTAAATAACAAAAAGGTTTGTTGACCAGAAGTTTGTTACATGGGAAGACGGAGTTGGCTTGCATTAACGTAAACAATCCGATTCCCACATGAAACCGAGTCTCTTGTTAAATCAATGCACTGAGAAAATACAGAAAATGCTCACGAAGTTCTTCCACAGTTCACAGAGAAGCACAGGTCACGGTGCTTTCAGTGGATTTTGATGTTCTTCTTCCACACTGTGAGAGGGTGCTGTTGCCTCCAGGGAGCAGGTCACTTTGTGTCCTGCGACCGCTGCGCTGGTGGAGGAGGCCCAAGAGGAAGAAGGCCAGGAGGTTACAAACACTGTAAAATCCTGATTTATGGACAGGACCGTCCCAATCTAGCAATGCTAAACAACTGTTAGATTAGACCCGTTTTCTTTTCTTTCTCCAGCTTCCCCTGGCTTTCTTTGTCTCTTTGAGTGTGGGGTGTGTATTCAAGTGTGCCTGTATGTGCATGTGTCCATGCCCAGACATGAGCAGACAAACTGTCGGTTAAAGAAAAGCCTGCCAGGTTATTTGTCTTTAGCTGCTGTACTTGACAGAAGTGTTACTTGCACTATACCTAACAGTGTCCCTGATTTTTCTAATGAAGTTCTGACATAAAGAATAGGAAGAATTGATATTTTAAACAAATAATTTTTTTTGGTTTGTGGATGCTCAGTCTTACAGATTCAGAAACAAAACAAAATGTAGCTCAGTTTTAATGCAAAAAAAACAAAGATTGACTGTTGATGTCATAGGGATACTTATGGGACACACCCAGCTGTAACATTAATTAAGACACTATATTATTGATAGTTCTGATAATTAGCAATTCGATTCTGACACCTTGATTATCATTACATGTTGTGCTCTGTATTAAAAATGCCCCAGTACATCTGATCAAATCACTGAACTCTATTTAAAAGCCACAGTTTGACTTCTCTGTTTCACAATAAGACATTTTAAAGTGAACTGTCTGGTTTGTGTGGGTGGATGTTTTTTTTTTTCTTCCTTTCTTTTTTTGTTGCCAAAAGGAGCAACTGGACCACACAAAATGACTGACAGTGGCCCAAATCAGTGCAGCCCAGTGTGTTGCCTTTAAAAAAAAAAAGAAGTAATCCATGTTCCATTGTTGCTGACAGTAATCATCACTCTGTGCAGGATGTGTGTGGTAGACAAGCAAACCTCAGAATCCGTGGGGGACTATTTGCATTAAGTGTAAACTACCACCGCTGTCTAACACCTGCTTCTTTCCTTTTTTTTTTTCCTTCTCTTGCTCTGTCTCCCACTTGCCTTTTTTTCTTTTTTTTCTTTTCCAACATGTGAGAGGTTTAAAAAAAAAAAAAAAAAGTAGAGCACATTTCTGCAGCCGGATAATTTGAGGGTGCAGAAATGACCAAAAATTAGGCAAGTTTCCTTTGGGAGAAGAAGAAAAGAGGGTAGAGGCAAACCAGGTGGTGAACTTAACCTGACATTAATATTTTACGAATATGACCCTCGAAGTTGTAATGATGAATGTAATTGGGCATTGGTTGTTAAACTGCTACTAAGCAGGTGTTTTACATGAGTAAGTCAGACATTATCTCCTCCTTAATGTCTATTTAAGTACCAATCTGTCATGGGCAAAGAAAAAAAAAAATCCTGTTACCACTTGCCAGAACAGACACTTAATGCCTTTGCTAATTAAGGACTTTGCAGTGTTTATGACACCAACCTGAACTGTATATTTTTTCAGGTTTAGTCTTTATTTTTTTTTATTATCTTGGCCTCCTAATTGTGAGGTGATAAAACAGTTTGGCGATGGTTCATCAGTCTTGGCTGGTGGCTTAATTTGTTAAATAGACCACATCATTTCCTCTCTCCTTGTTGAATCAAAAGTGCATTTTTTTAAAATAATGTGATTATAAAGATCGGCCTCCACTTGATGACTTATGGTGGTTTTTTTGGCACTAAAGTGCAAACGTTAGTGTAAAATCACAAAGGACTGTGTGTGTGTTTAATAGGTTCATTCAGGGCACTGAGACATGCCGGTAGAACTACAATGATTCACTGATTAATAAATTAGCAGTACGAAAGAAAAGTAAATCATTTATTTAGCAAAACTGCCAAACTGTCTTAGTACATGTCAGGATTATTTGCTGCTTGTCTATCATTGTGAACTGATTGTCTTTGGACTTTTGGCTCTTGGTTTACAAATTTGTGGTGAGTTTTTCACTATTATATTTTATACATAAATCCATTTATAAAACAAACAAAAAAAAAAACCCCGGATTCATTGATAATGAAAGTGCTGCATTATAGTACCACAACTGCTTTAATAGGCAGATTTACAACCGCTTTTAGAAGTAAAGGATGATAATTACTATGCTGGGAATGCTCCATTTTCTCAGCTTGCAGTCCTTTTCTAACATGTTATTACCATCAATTATCTGCACAATGAACTAAACATCCACAT